ATCTCGAGTAAACTCGGGTACATATATATATATATATATATATATATATATATATATATACAATAGCTGAATGCCCGCTCTTCGTGCGGGGAGAAAAGAACGCATCGACGTAATCTGTACTGGACAAGACTCTAAAATCGTACACAAAATATTCAGACAAATACCTACACAAATAATAAAGTTACAATGATTCTAATGTTTTTTATTTATCATTATTATTTGTTACCCTTCTCGGTTGCTTTCCATTATTAGATTAAGCAAAATGCGTTTTTAGTAATTCATCCAATCAAAATAAATACTAACTGTATCCAGTATCATCTGGTATAATGCTGTTGATCAAGGCAAATCATGATATTCACCCCAGTCAAGCTACTTTCTCCTGAACTCATCTTTCTATATAATAAATCTGTCCTAAAAATGTACAGTATTGAAGCAGCTGTAACCGGCATCTAAAATATTTTGTACCTATATAAATTTATATTTGATACCTAAACTGCGTCAAATACCATGGGGCCAGTAGTTTTCATTACTAAAATTATGATTCGTTGGTGTCAATAATAATATGGCGACCTTTAATGGTACGAATAAGTACACATTCTCCATTTATTTTCCTTATTATTTAATAGCTAATTTTTTTTAAAATTTCATTCAGTATTTATTACTAAAATGAATTATGCATCATTGGCTTCAATAATAGTGTGCCGAGATTTTTCCGCTCTCGTTAACGAGCTGAATAACATTTATCACTAAGACAATGAAAAACTTTCATTTCTGAATTTCAAACATTAAATTCCATATTAGAATTTATTCCATATTCTGAATTTAAAAACAAAAATCGGGTTTCATAATTTCTTTACAATTTTACTCATTTAGATTAATTTTGAATCTCGTATTTTTAGAGCTAACGGTATTCCTAATCCAGTATATACAGACGCAAATTCTTAATATTATTATATAGATAATTTACTGCACCATTCAGTGGCTTTACGTTATGATATTGAGCAAAACACTTTTTGGTCTTTCATCCCATCAAAATATAGACTTAATGTAATCGAAATCATCTGGCATAATGTTGTTGCTCGAGGAAACTCATGATACTTAATGATACTTAAAATTTTTCACAATCTAGCTATTTTCTCCCGTACTTAATTAAGCCTCAATAATGCGATTTTTTTACTCTGTTTTGAGCGAATAAGTATTATTTCTCTATTTACTTTGCTTTTTAGTACACAGCTCATTTTTCACTTCAATTTGTAATTGTTACCAAAATGTATCATTGATGAATTAGTACCATTTTCCCCTTAGTTTTGCCTTTAAGTTTGAAACTTTTTTTTTAATTTCAATTACTGTTGATTTTAAATTATTTAGTTTTATAGTAACATGCTTTCAAAGCGCAACTATAAACAAAATTAACACGTGGTTTCAGATAACCTTAGAAATATTAATCTGATGACGTTGTCTGCTTATGCTAGCCCGATCACGTTGATCTTTCGGATAACTTGGCGTAATAAATAAAAAATAATAAAGTATTGCATAACGCTCAATAAATAACGTTTTTGATTAGTTATAAGTTAACAAACATCACTGGTGTTGTCTTTAAAATATTTGATAAAATTGGATCGTCTATAGCTTATTTTGTAACAATGGCCTTCCGATAAGCTAATGAGAAAATTACATTTTTTTAGTGTCTCTGATTTTAAAAATCGAAAATCGGGCGTCTTAAAAAGTTTGCAATTTTACTCATTCATTCAGATTCATGGTGAATTTCGTACTCATAGAATCTACCGTTTATCCGCAATTTGACACACACACTATTTATTTTATTTTATTTATATATATATATATAGAGAGAGAGAAGGCCAAGGCCTACTGAGCCCATCTCAGTTTTCTTGACCTTGGGCTCTGGGGTACAGGAGCAGATATTCCAGTCAGGTGGTTAGCCGAACGCGGAACTCCCAGTGTTTAGTTCCCAAGCAAGCTTGGTACTCATTTATCGAGCCACTGAAGGGATGAAAGGCTGAGTCAACCTTTGCTCGGCCCGAGGATCGAACCCAGGACCTGTAGCACGGAAGCGCGAAACGCTACCACTCACACACCGGGTGTCATACATATATCTGTATAAAGAGCAGTATTTTTATTTACTAGAGATGCTTTCAGTCAGAAAAGGAATACTACTTACCTACGGGGAGTTATATGAGCTAATATTGTTGAAATTATCAAAATTAGTTTGGTAAAAATTATCAAAATTACAATTTTTTAAAAAAATAGCTGTAAAATATTACATTATCAGTTAGTTCATTTCCGAAACGTGCATATAGTTGTAGAAGACATTGAAGCAAAATATCAAGCAATTAAATGAGAGTCGGAGATTTGTAAAGTTGGCTTTTTTTTAAAAAAAATTGCAATTCTAAGTTTTGCTATAGTGTCAAAACTGGACGAAAAACATATTTAATAACCTTCCTGTATTCTGTTCTTTATTTCATTTTGTCCCTTACTGTAATCTGTGGGTTGTTTTCAGGCATGTTTCCCTACGTCATGATTGCTGTGATGCCCATCTTCTGTTCCTCTGATTGGCCCATCAAGTTCTTGTCTCCATTCCTGCGTTCTCAATCATCTGATCCCAGTGCAGATTGCATTTATGCTGAAAACAAAGAAGTAAATGAAGCACTTTTCTAACAATCTCACGGGCAAAAAAAAATTTTTCTTCGATTTTTCTTGTCAACCTAAAAGATTTCATAAAATAGTTTTTTTCCTTTTTTTACTGATTTAAAAATATACGTTTAAGTTACCTTTATTAGCAAACTCTTGAAAGAAGTGCAATTCAATTGAATAAAAAAAATTTCATTCTGCGAAATTTGAAAAAAGTTTTATAACAAAATGGAGGAAACTAAAAAGTTAATCTGTCTGATATCAGTCAAAAGTTAATCTGTCTGATATTGTCACTTTTATTATTAATTCGAGAAGCATCCGTGTTAGGGTCCTGAAATGTGTATAAAAATTTCAATGCGAAAAATGGATTTTTCTGACTAGTTTAACATTAGGCATTATTATAAAATAAACTGTAGGTGTTTTTTTCTTTTTAATTATTTAAAAAAATAACATCACAGATGTTTGCTTCCTTACTGCTTTGTTTAATCAAAAATTGGTGTTTATTGCGCTGCCTTTAATAATTAATTACTTTCTGTTCGTCACGTCACAAGTGAACTAAAAACATGTTAAGGGATTCAGTCCATAAATTAGCATTCCGAAAGTTATCTGATGAACGTTTTTTATAGTCGATTTTAGATTGTTACGTTTTTGAAACGTTTTTATATAAAACTGAATAATCCAAAATATTTACAATGTTGAGTGGGTTAAGATCATTTTGGTGCCAATTCATGAAATTATTATAAAGTGAACAGGTTTTGCTAAACCAAATAACGTTATCACCGAGACAGCAGCAAAAATAAACAGTAAATTTAACAATATTAAATGAATAAAAGTAGAATTATNTTTACTTGTATGTATGTAACTGGTTTAATTAAATTACATCTAGATAATAAATTCCTCAATCACAAAACACCCCCCATGAAAAAACTATACCTACGTGCTTGATGCCTCTCGGTACTGTGAGTGATATAGCAACTTTCTTTAATTCAGATTTTTATTTATTTTCTTTATTTCAAATCATCACTAAAAAATCATACACAAAACCGAAAAGAAATTCCGCCGCAATTAACAATACTACAATCATTCCTAATTTTACTTTAACTCCATATATTAATAATAGAATTTTTTCCCCCTCTTCTGTGTTTGAATTTTGTTTTGGAAATGAAGGAATAATATAATTCCTTAATATTATAATGAATAATGATTATTCCTTAATATTATAATGAATGAAGGAATAATATTATAATGATATCATTATCATTGCTGAAAACGAAAACATATTCTTTTTTATGTTCTTCATGTGTGAAGGCAGATAAAAAAATAAGTAGAGCTTTTAATTCATTCTAACATTTTAGTATCATTTTTAAAATTAAATTTGTGAATAGAAATATGATATAATTCATAAAAACCGTGTTTTATTCTCTGTACAAATGGTTACGCCCATAATAGATATAACTTTTAATTTTGTGAAGCTATTCTATTGCATTAGATGGCAGCACTGTTTCCAATTAAGGTTTCGCGTAAGTGTTTAAATATTTTCTCCCCCTATGCAAAGATTACAAAAAAATTTCAAACTAAAGTATTTATCTTTTCGACAACAAATAATTTTATTATTAATGAAAGCAAGTGACAAAGCTCCTTTTACCAAACTTTATTTAATAATAAGAATTAAAAAGTTTTCATAGCAAGAATTAAAAACTTCAGATGAGAAATCATAATGCTGTATTCACATTAATTATTTAATGATTAAAATATAGTCCTTAACAATTAATGTCCATAGCATCAGAATTATATTCATTACATTTTGGAAAAATGACTAAAGATAAATATTTTCCTTACAGCATTTAAATTTTTAAAAAATGGTGCCATTTACATTGAGCATTCAGTATTGAAAAATATATATTTTTCAATACTGAATAGTACTTATATAAGAATAAAATTCCTTACGACTCAGACAACCTCAATTATTTGAGAATAAACATTTCAACGAGGAAATCTCATTGAAATCTATCCAGTCTTAAGGGAGGAAAACAATGTTAAAATCAATTTGATTGACAGTGGTAAAACGAAATCTAAAAATTGCCTGTAATAGCACTTTTTTGTCCCGCAATTCCTCCTTCCTCAATAATTGCCAGTTAGGTATGCCAGCTTGAATCTGTAATGATTATACTTTTTCTAGCGATAATGATTTTAAATTTTCTATGAAATAAGTGATCGTTATGAATCACTCTTTATGTTAAAAAATCAGTAGTAATTGGGAGAGAGATAATATTTTTTTTCTTCTACTTTTGCATATTATTGTGAGAAAACGGTTCTGCCGAATAATCTTTTTAAAAAAAAGTGAAACGAAAATCAAATGTATTAATTATTTATCCACGTACTTCTCTATCATATCATATTATACAGTATTCTGTATCAAATATACTATAAGATTAGATAGATGCAGCAATAGATCAATAGAATCAAATCATATATCTTACAGTCAGTGCCGTAACTTCACCCCTCGGGGCCCTGGGGCAAAAATTTTTGGCAGAGGCCCTTTCAAAAACTTTCAGTACTCCATCTCTAATCGTCATTTTAGTTATTTATGTATTATGTTAGCGAATATGTTTNATATGTATACATATATATATATATATATAAAGCCTGACTTTTAAGTAAGTTACCCTATGAATGATGGAATGGAGAAATGAATGTTTTTTTTCCTTTTCTGTCTGTTAATTAAATTAATCTGTTAAGCAACTTTTTTTATTTTTTATTTTTTTACTTTATTTATTTATTTATTTTTTCATTGTAATAAATTTAATTACATTTTCTCCATTTTTGGGTTTATAAATTAATTTCCGAATTATACATTTTTACTAATTTTTCTCATAGATGGCAGCACTAATATTTTACTTACTAATATTTTACTCTATATATATATATATATTAGTTCCTTACTAGATGATTGATTACCTTAACATAATTTTAAATTGTTTTATTTATTTATTTATTAATTCTTTAAGCATTATTTAAGCTTAAGTTAAGCGGCGAATTCTAATATGCAACGCTTACAACTAAAGAATTATCTATTTGAAAATGTAAATAAAAGCAAAATTGTTTTCCTGAAAAAAATTTTTTAGTTTCTCTGTTAATAAAATTCTTGCCATTTAGTCCAAGCGGTAGTTTTATTTATTTAAATTAAATAATATGAAAAAGAAAGTATATATTCATTTTCGTCAACTTTTCGACACTTCGTAAAAGCTGTTAACTCCTCGCATCCCCCCCCCCAAAAAAAAAATCTTTCCTACGCCATTAATTATTTTTTTAATGTTTAAAAGTGAACAGCTAATAAATTTTATAATCAAAAGTGAATAGCTAATAATAAAGTTGAATAGCTATAATAGTTTAAAAGTAAATAATAGCTGGAATGCAATTTTTATTACTCTGTGAAAGATAAACATGATAAATCTTCTTCTTCTAGGATAAAAAAATCGACCGGCAGAGTGTTCAGTTCCATCATAAAGCGAGAACTTTAGCCTTTTGCAGTTACTTTGTGTTGCAGTTATTTCTGCCTTACTCCCACTTTTTAACCAAAGGTTACAACACTTGGACGCAAGGACTGTACGGTTACTCCTGGGACATGATGGTGCACAACTGGAGATATGTTCATACTACCGTCAGGGTAGTCGACAAAACAACGCATCATTTATACCATCTCGACCCTGAGGTACTTTATTTTCCTCAACTATACTAAAACATTTATCTATATACAGGGCCGCCTTAATAGCATGCAGTACCTCGGGCACAAAAATGCTTTGGAACCTTATAACAGATCATGCTACTTAAAATCGAAGTAAAAAACTTCACATACATTAAATAAAGCATTTTTGACACATGCATTAATTTGAACAAATTTAAATGATTACCCCAAAAAACTGAATCCACATAAAAACTTCATTAGAAAGTAGAAAATTAGCCTTTTTAATTTTTCTTGGGGATAAACTATTCAAATTATTGTTGTTTGTATGATAATCAATCACTATTTGTACACACTTTATACAATAGAATATATTTATTTTAAAAAATATATAAGGCCATTTTGTTTTTTCAAATACAATTTATTAAAAGTAAGATTCTCAAGGGCCCCCCTGAGTGCTTGGGGCCCTCGGTCACTGCCCGTGTGTGCCCATGCGTAAAGACGGTACTGTATATATAATTGAAATCATTCTTGTGTGTATGCGTAGTAGAATGTATAAACGCTAAAACTCTAAGACAAGTATACCGATTTGCTTCGCGTTTTTTGTCTTCTTTCTTTTTTTTCTTTTTTTTTTATGCAGTTTGTAAATTTTTTAGACTTGCTTTTTTAACTCCTTGAATCAACGGCATTCATTGCGCCTTTCAATTGACGTTACTCATCCCAGGTAGCAAAACGATATTAAATAAGATCAGATAGATGCATTGCAAAACATTAGAATGTTTAAAACTATATTTTATGGCACAAGTTATAGGAATAAAGTAGAATATCAAAAATAAAGTAATATAGTACAAGAATAAAATAGATTTTTTTTTTTTTAATTTCATTAAGAAAAATTTGGTGAATTAGCATTGACAGATTTATTTTAATACTTCTTCCCCAGTTTTTCGAGTATATTAAATGAGGATGATACATTAAGACATCAATAGCCGAAACGTCAAAGTCGAAAACTAATTACTTCATTTTCAGAGTCACTTTATCAGCCAAACTTGTTTCCTCTCATGGAAGATCTCTCCATTGAGATCAAAAGATTTTTTAATAAAAAAATGGAATGGAAACGAAAACATACTCCTTCTTTGATAAATATTTTTCGACAGTGAAGGAACACAACACATAGTCTTTCAATACATTATGGTCTATTGTCAATACGAATTTGGAGTTTAATAATCCAAAGAATTATGTTAAGGAGCATATTTTCTTTCAAGTCAACACCAAATTGAACCGTCATCACAATGCTCTTTAAAGAGACTAATTGTAAAAGAAGGTTATTGAAGGAAATAGTAGATTTATTTATTCAGTAGATATTGAAGAAGGATTGGCTGTTGGTGGCGAAGAAATATATTAATAAAAATTGTTGAAGATGATGATTATTATTTCCAATTGCCCATATTTCGAATCCTTGGTGATGGCTGCAGGGGAAAGCCCCGCAGGACATCTTCGTCCATCAAAAAATCAAAATGCAAATGACATGCACGTGTTTATAATATTATTCGCCACGAAAAGTTAAGGAATCTATGTATTGGCTATTAATCGCTTTAAGTTTATTGCCCCGGCACTTTTTTTTTTATTCTTAAGCTTTTCAAATATGTTGGCGAAGGAGAAAGTGTGAGGAATAACGACTAATTTCTATAATATAAAAACATTTAACAGCTTTCGAATTCTATGATAATGTGTTAAGCAGAGGTTGAGGGAATCTCTAAAAATATATTTTATACAGCTTTTTTTTAATATAATTTTTTAACCTTACCTACTTCTGAACTAATATGTTCTAGAATGCCTGTAATCAGGATTCTAGACGTCTTTGCGTACACGACGCAATGTATTAACATTTAAACTATCACAGTTATCTAGTATTAAAATCAAGAAGATGAAAAGCCGTTTTTATAATTTTTTTATCATTTTTAAATCATTTTAAGTTTCTTTTTTAAACTGCATATAAAAATTCTCTTCATTTTAAAGGAAGGAAATCTGTTGTTTATGAACAGTTGTATGATGCATTCATATACATCTTGCTTAATTTTTTTGTTTCATAAATTTATTTCAGTTTAATCGGACACATAGACAAAGGTATTTGTGCAAATCAATAAAGTTTTGTAAAATAACAAAATTTCTAAATTTTTTAAACGTTTAGACATAACTGTGTTTTCATGTGTAAAATTTATGAAATAAAAATTGTTTTTAAAGAGCCCTATTTAATGTGAACTTATTTTGAATGAATTGCTTATTATATTATGTGAGAAACCAATTATCATAAATAGTAACATCAGTTGTAAAATAAAATGAAAATAATATCGAAACATCGCAGAGAAATTTCCAAGTTTCCGGCCATATAACCTGATAATCACTGATTTGTCATGCATGGACATCTCCAAGCAAAACAACAGCAAATTTAGACAATCATTTAGATTTTAATGATTCGAGTCAAAATATAAGGGCAGAAATTTTTATCATGCCTATTTACCAACGCTTAAAAGCATGAGAAGAGATTGAAAATTTAGCGCGTTATCGATAAATAATACAGCCAACTCCGAGTTATTGAAATAAATTTTAAATAAACTGGCTACAAATTTTAATCACCAAAAAGACTGTAATAATTTATTATAACTTTGCAACCGAAATAATTTTGCGGTAAAAAATAAAGCAGTTTTAAGAAAATGAAGTTAAAAATAATTTTGATAATCGTTTTGTCGTAACATAGAATTATTAAGTAATGCACTTGTGTATTGAATAAAAAGTCAGTAGTTGCATTGGTTGTTAAGAAAAAAATAAAAGTGTTCACATTCCATAAAAAGGGACAAAAATTAAATAATTGATTTAATTTAATTATAGCAGGATTAAAAATGATTTAAACAATTAAATTTATGAAATTATACGAATTTAAGAGATAGGTGCTTATAATGGCATCACACCAATAATGAAGAAATCGTAAAGAGCGTATTCACACCATTTGTGAATCGTTTTCATTGCCGAAAAGCCCTCATTTTGGCATGAATTTCTTATTTTCTTTTAAGCTACTAAATATCTACGTATACAAAAGTTCACCGTTTCAAAATCTATGTATATTCTTAGTTGTGTAATAAAAATAACATTTTAATTTTTATTATCTGCAATTATTATAGGTGATTTTTATTATCTATAATGTATAACATTTTAATTATCTGTCAATAGCTTTAAATAATTTTGTAATAGATCCCTTCTATTCGCTTCTATTCTTGTTAATGCTTAATTCGAATTCCTCTTAGAATTTTCTCTGCGCTGTATGCATGTTAGATTAGCAAACAAGTTTTATTTTTTTAAATTTATGTATATATGCATCCTAAATTAATGATTCTTGCTTTATATTGCATCGTGAAAATAACTTTACTAACTTTTAGGTCTATCACATCTTACTGTAATTCTAAATTTAAGTGTTATCGATTACCAAAAATGGTTCTACCTACTATACGCCAAATAGTGCAAAAAAATGTTCTTGGGGGCTTCTCTAAACTATGAACCCCAAGAATCAATAGTTGTATCACAACATCACCATTTTTTGTACGCTAAACTTTTTTTCACGGTGCAGAACGTCTTTAAACATTGATTTATTTTTTTTTGCAGGCATGGACTAGGAGTCACAGATGGACTCACCATGCAGATATGGTGAAGCAATTTTCTCACTGCATACAGGAGAGAATGTATCAGAAACACAAAATGAAAAACATTGAAGTCTACGTCGACGTCTGGCTCTCTCTCAACCGGCGATTCATTCAAAGGTCAGTATAAGGTTTATTAAGATTTCATTAAAGCCAAGATTTAAAAATCACAAATATATTATTCGGTGCCACATCAATTAGTAGGATAAATGATAATAGGTATGGTAAAACGGAGGTGATGTCATCCGACAGAGAATACTAAAGATATCCAGTTATTTAGAGTATATTATACATTCAGTCACACTCAAGAGATAAACATACAGATGAAATGGGATATTTAAATCAACGGAAGTCCGCACATTTGTTGAATCTATTTTACCCTCACTTCCCTACTGATCGAAGCAGGTATTGTTATTTTTAAACATTGGATTTAATTTCAACGCTAGAGATTTCTCACGTAATTCATTAAGACGGTATTATTCGTATTTAGATTACTGAGGGAATAGGTATAAATGTAGTTCTTAAAAGGTGAGAGTTAAACTTTGATGATATTTCGGTCAAATGATGAGCCAATGTAACATCAAAAGTAATTTAAACATTGTATACATTTTTCCAAATTTAAAAAAAAAAAAGAAGAAGAAAAAAGTATGAAGTTTAAATAGAACGATAACTATCCTCCACGAATGGCTGTAGATTACTTGTATTTAATTGTGAGAAAGACTTTGCTAAAATAATAAATTAAATAATAAATAAATAATAGAGTTTTTAAATAATAAATTAAAGTACATACTTAACGCGTATTTATCCATCGTTAAAACACTTTTTCACCTGTTTAAGTATTTTCTTTTTTTATATTTTTATGAAATATTTCTGTAACAAAATGTATCATCTGTTATTTTCTTACATGCAAAACATAGAATTGTCCAAGAAAAAATTTAACAAGAGCAATCCCTATAATTTTTGATTCATAAATTGTTTAATATAATCAGAGGATTTGATGAAAAGAGTTATTATAGTGCTAATTATATTTAAATGGAAAATTATATCGCATAAATAGCGAATATTTAGTGCATGTAACATAAATATCAATAGAATTTAGAATGAGCTGCTTTGAACCAATAAATATTTCTGTTTCTGTCTTTTTCAAAACTGCAGAGCCATTTGTGTGAAAGGCCGCCCTGAAACTTCGTCATCAAATGTATTTAAAGTTTAGTTGCCAGGGATAACTTTTTCACTTTCTTCTAATTCTTTTTTCTCTTTTTTTTAGAAAAGAAAAGGGGGGGGGAGAAAAGAAACAAAAAGTTTGTAAACATGGAACAGTTCAATCTTAAAAATTGCAATTTATGTACATTGATTGAAAATTGAATAATCATAATTATCATATGAATATTTTATGAATTACCAATTTTTTTGTTGATACTAATCATTTCAACGCGAGTTAGATCATTTTATTTTAACTAAAAATTTTATTGAGACTGAAAAAAATTTGAAACATACAATCGGATTAACGTATGATAGTGAATAGGAGAGAAAGTGTATCTTTTGATGAAATAAGAAGCATAGTATTGCCCGATTTCTTAAAGTATTTTTGTTTTTTATTTAAAAAATCTCAATTACCATTTTTTACACACACTAAAATTGTTGCCCTTATTTATTATTAATACAGTTAAAATTTCATTTATATACAATTGTTTCGTAACACATTTATATACGAAAACTTTTGTCATCATTTTTTCTTACATACATCTTTCAAATTATACGTATTTAGCAAGAAGTCCAGATAAATTTTTTTCTTCTCTCCATTTCATTCCATCCCTTTTCTTAGAGTGTATGATCCAACTGTGGACATACTGTCCGCCAAGTGGTCGCCATTCAAAGAGGTCACGTGGGTCCTTCCACTGCAGACGGAATTGACAGAATGGAGAGCGAATTTAATGGCAATGGAAAACAGGATTTTCAATCAATCAGAAAATGTAGACGTTCTATTCGTGGCTGATTTCCCCGGTAATATTTTAAATTATAAATTTCCTGTAAAAAAAGTTTAATTAAATTTTATTGCCTTCAATGACTAACAACTTCGAGTTCAATTTTTACTGCTACTCACTGATGCCACTAGCAGGGGAAAGATAATAAAATAAATGTGTTAAGTTTTCAAAGTACTCTAGATTTCCTGAAATAAAGCATTATATTTGCATTTGAGCAGTAGGCTAACTCCCCTCATTAAATCATAACAGAGTTAGCCATATGGTATTACTATATCATAAATTTGCATAGAGAAAAAAAAATAAAAGAAATAAAACACAAATCTGAAACAGATTTGGACATACTATAGTTTTGGTTCGATAAACAAGAACTTTCCTCAGCTCAAAATCAGAGTAGTAAAGTGACTTGACATATAAAGTGGTTTAAAGAAATTGGGATAGAGAAACAAGCTTGAACAAAATAATAAAAGAAAATAAATAGATGTTGATTGAAAGATATAATAGGTAGATTAGCTATCCAAACATCGAAAAAGGTCGGTATACTAGAAAGATCATTCATTAAATTATTAAAATTTTCCAAAATAGGGAATGATTTCCTGAAATCAAGGTCAGTAGAGGAAGAGCAGTGTTTAATAGCCAAAAATTGTAGTATCCCTTCCTTTCCCGATGTTTGGATGAAATCTTTTATAATTTAATTTTTTGCACCATGTGATTGCCGGGGATGATGTATTGCCTCTTCTAATTTCAACCATTTTGTGCGTGTTTGTCTCTTTTATTGTCATTTGGTGTTTAAACACTCGAACCGTAACTACAGTATATCAGTTTCAGTACTTTTACTTGCGCTTTATTCAAGTTGTTTTTGTTTTAACCTACGTAGCACAAAATCTTTTTGGATATCCTAGTTAGATTTATGTTCGTACAATCCATTCCTATCTTATTTTAGACATCATTTCTGCAATGAGAACGGAGCACATAATATGGACAAACTCTTTAAAGCTCACAAAAGGAACAACAATGAACTTTTCAACTAATACAAAACAAAAAATTTACAAATTTACAGACAAAAATAATTCTTCTCTCAAAGCCATTCATGATTATTTAAATATTTCTGATAAAATTAGAGTCCGCTTTTTAGGATATCACAATAAAAATTTAATAATTTTTTACGCAGTTCAGGATAACATCAACGTAAACTATTAAGATGACATTTCTCACAGGCACTAATTTTTAAATGTCTTCTATTAATATAAGATACACGTTCCTCCCAAAAAAGTATTTTGATTAGTTAATTAAAATAATCTATAGTGTTTTAAACGAGATTCAGTTTGATCTATTTTTTGCCTTATTTACCCTTTCTATTATTAGTAAGATGAAATTTGTTGACGGGACAACTTGCTCTGACATTTTATAATTAAGGCACATATTTCTCCTGTTCTTCAATAAAATGAAGTAAACAATATTTTTTTTTAAATGAAATTAAATGAACTTTTTGTTATTGGGGTGAAATGAAGGTTCTTATTGAAATGAAATAAATTAAATTTATAGAAGTGGAAGTTATCATTTTATTTTAATAAAATGAAAGTTTTTCATAGGTGCGAAATGAATATTTTTATTGCAACAAAGGTTTTATAGTGAAGTGATAGAATTCTTTATTGAAATGTTTTATGAAAAGTTTTTTCTGTTAAAATAAAATGAGTGTTATTTTATTGGAATGAAACGAGGTTCTTTTTCTTTATTTATAAAAAGGAAGATATGAAAATCTTTTATTAAGTAATAAACAGAAATTGCGAAACACCCTATGTTAAAAAAATAAAACTCAATTAGCTATGAGTTGTATAATACATTTTTCACTCTTTCTTTCTAACTAGGTTTTCATTTGGTGAACTATATAAGTAATGGATTCGATAATGCATCTCTAGAGGTCTTGAAAGGTTCTGTAGAAATATTTTTAGAGCCTAACCACACAATAGAGTTGAGAGAAGGTCAAAGTGTCATGGTAAGAAACATCCAATATAAATTACTGAATGTTTCGAAAATATCCACTTTTTAAAGAATGGGTAAATAAAAGTGGAGTTTTCTAAGTCTTTTTACGAAACCAGAATAATTCTTCAGACTAAATTTCGTAATTATTTACCAAGTAACTGTGGGCAACAATGTTAAACCTTTTGCAGAAACTGCATTGACACAGAGAAAAACAAAGTAACCAATAAAGTTCCTGCCGTTTTAGCTTTGCCATTGAATGAAATTAGAATAGGTATACAAATGAGAGTATCACGTGATTTAAAATCTTTTCGGTCGAAAGTAGGAATATCAGTCATTTAAAAAGCAGGGTCACCTCACCTGGTACATTAATCGATTGTAACTAAATGATGCTTCTAATGACACTTGGACAAGCCAAGCTCCTCAGTCATTAGCCATTCTGCGAATTAAGTCAGGAACGTGCAAGTTTCGTTTGACAAGGGAACACCGCAAAGATGACAGTACGTCTTAGCCCAGAATTTCAAGAATAGATGCCAGCACCACTCATTTGTGGGGCCACTTCCTGAATTTAGACATACTAGATATGGAGAGGGAGGATATTATTTTCTCCAGATTCCTGTACCCATGGTACTGGTCAGCGACCTATGACAGGACTTTCAATTCCACGAATTTTACGAGCCCGTATATCGCTCGTACTTGGTGGGACATAGTGGAGTCGTTGATCGAACCCCGGCCAATCCGATTCGGAGCACGATTTTCTAATAGCTGGGTTACTACGGCCCACCGTAACTCATACAGAAGACAAATGGAAGTATGAAATGAACTCGTTCGGTGTTGATTGCTTAGCGACTTTAAACTGGACTTATCAGCTGCATCAAGTCACCGAATACGTCAAAAGTTTGGTGATAGTGCTGTGAAAGCTGTGCTGTGTGTGCATCGTACTGCAAGGCGATGGTTTAAAATTTATTCGGGTGGTTTTTCCTTTATGTTGATTAGACCTTTTCCATTGAGATAGTCGAACCTCACAATGGCCCTCCACGGGATACTGAAGCCCTACAGGTAGGACAGTAGTCTAACGTGTTTCCGATAAAAGAGTCGGACGTCTTCTGCAACGCTTAGGCAAGACATACAGGCTGAGCATGTGAGTTCCGTACACACTGTTGGAAGTCTGCAAAAAAGAACGGATAGCAGCCTATATGTCAGTGCTTCCTCGCCATCGTATCGCATCCTTATTCAATCAAATACTTACCAATGAAAAAAATTGGGATCTTAATGACACACTCAAGTGTTCCAAACATTAGTTGTCACCTCAGGATTCTGTCTCTCTCATCACGAGACCATCTATGGACCCGACGCAAGATGATACTTTGTGTCAGGTGGACTAGTCATGTGGTTTACTGTTAGCTGTTGCTGACTGCCCAAATTGTCACTGCGGTCCTGTACTCGCATCAATAGGAACATGCGTAACAGGCATCGCAAGAAAAGGAGTCAACACTCCCTGGACACTCATCTTCATGGAAAATTCTTCACCGTTGAAGCAGAGATTCGCATAGCACTCACAGACTTCTGTTCGTTCATAACTCCCGAGTTTTACAGCAAGCGATTGCATAGTTGGCAGAAGGTGTGGAATGCCGATAGAGATTACTTCGAAGAATAACAATGGGTTTCACTTTCTGTAACTCAATTTCTTTTTGGTTGTTCAAAACGGCAAGGATTTAATTGGTTACCTTGCATGTAAAAAGTTTCCACTATAATGATACAGCGTATTTAAAAAAAACTTTTTTACTCCCTCGAAACGCTACAAAAGGACAGCACTCTCGTCTAAACAGTTTCAGAGCCAGACTATGTTAAAAAACGTAGATTTCTCTTATTGTGCTTCATTGAATTTCTTTTGTAATCGTTTTATTTTTTTTTAAAGCTCTATAAAGTGCTTATATTTTAATTCACTAAGAGTAACCACAGTAATCGCGATATATATTTTGCAAAATAAATTGCTATCGTATTTTAAATATTTTAATTTCTTACCATTTTTCTTTTTCTTAAACTTATTTCAATGTTAAAAAAATACTTTTTGATAAGGATGGCAACCTCTATCAATCTTTTTAAACTGAAATTTTTAAAAGCGTTTATTTTTCTTTTATATGTTTATATGTAGTAGAATTTATCATATAACAGAATTAATTAAACAGAAGTATATTATTAATATGACAGAAAGACTTTTTACGTATAGCAAAACTAAAATTTGCGATAAACAAAATAGGAATTCATTAGAAAACTTTATGTTTCTACATAAATGCATAATATAAAAAGAAATTCGAAAGCCTTTGATAAATTCTTGCAATTCTATCTTTATTTAATTATTTTTATTAGAATTTTAAAAAAAAACACAACTTTTTGAAACTTTATACACACACAAAAAAGCACTTCATTCATTGAAGCTATAAATATTTATGATATAATCGTGCTGAAGGAAATTAAAATATGACAGAGATTCTACATTATAAACCATAGAGTACCAGTTTTAATACTGATGAGGGGGGAGGTCAGAAATTCCGGGGTGGAATCTGTGGGACATGAATCTTAAAATGTACCCTGATATAAAATATTTATTTCTTAATAAATTTCACTTTTGTATACTATAATAATTGTTAAGATACACATTTAAAGGAATATTTATTATCACTTCAAAATAAATAAAAAAATTTAAAAAATTAATGTTTGAAGAAATTATTATTATTATTATAAATAAAATTCTTTAATTAAATGAATTATATTATTAAAATTATAATTATTCTCTTCAAGACCTTGATGATGCGATTATTTCTCTACGGTTCACTGTATCATACATGAGACGAGCTTATAGAACAATTTTCAAACGAACTTTAAGTGGTGCTCGCAGTTGGCTATAGTTTTTAATAATGTAATACAGAGGATTGATCTTCAATATGCCTTTTCGGTTCCAATTATTATTATTATTATTATTTTAATAATCTATTTCGGTATATTTAAATATGTAAACAATCGGTTCTTTCGAAAAGATTGGATACATGAATTACCGTGTTCAGTGTTTTAGTTTATATTTTAGTAGGGTGGGAGAAAAAAGGAATGCTTATTGGTTTATGTGGGGGTAGACTTATCGTTTGGTGGTTTTATGAATATTGTTTTGCATGTTTTGGGTCAGTTTTGAAAATGTTTTTTTACACATCAAGAACATTCTCTTACAGGTACTATAAGTAATGATAAACTATAAATTTCAGTGTATCTAATAGCAGTATGGATTCTATATGATTTTTTTTAAATGAGCTTAACTGTAAAAATCACCCGGTCCCGTATAGAGAGTAGGTGGGTTCTTTTTCTTTTAGCCGGTCATGAACAGATTAAAAAGGAACAGCCTAAAAATGTCTCGTAGCAAAGACGTTTATTCGGTAAAACAATTCATTTCTTGAAACATTGTTTCACAGGGTTAAATGTAGTGTAGTCGGTAGTTAAAAGGCATCTCGCAGCGGAAGTCGAACGTGTACGACAGGGAATCGGTTTGTTAAAATCCCTTTCAAAATCCCCTTTTCTTTGTTTTTTCCAAGTTACCGCTATTTTATTTTCTCAAAACAGCAGCTGGTAGTGTGATTTGCTTTCCCTCCTTTTCTGTTTTCTGTAAGGGATCAGAAGAAGGATGGTCTTTCGAAGTGCTGGTTCGGAACTTAGGTATATGTTTTTTTATTTTGAACATAAATAGTTTTAACTAACGCAAACATTACCTCATAAAGAAATATTATCAAGAATTTGACGAGGCTGAAAAAAGTTAGAAATCAAATCAAATAATGAAACATGCAACGCCAATATCGAAAACGTCGCGCGTGAATTTTATTTTTTTTTTTATTTTTTTTGGAATAGACCAAGAATGAATATTATTGGAAGAGGTTAAAATGAATTGTAGATGCATTATAAATGCTGCAGTATAAATGAATATGTCTTTTCATTGTCCTTTCTATTTTCATATTGCACTAAATCACATTTTTAATTTTTTCATTGGTAATTCTGCTATTTTAAACCCAGACCGGTCAGCTATTCCCTGACAAATAACATAAATTGATGTGACAAAAAGTTTGGTTTAATTTTAAGTTCTATTTTTAATTCAACTTTAATTTTTGAAGGACTTATTTCCGATTTTTTATTTATACTATGGAGTTATTTTTTATTTATTTTAGAATTTTATCAATACGAAAACTACCAATAAAAAATTGATAATTGTCCTGATATTCGTGCTTAAAATATATTTTGTTCAGATTTTTTAGTTTCTTGTTTTGGTATCCCTGTTTTGTGTGTGTTCTATTTTCTGCTAACAAAAATTTGTATTTTGATATATTCGATTTGAAGAATTGAAAAATTTGGAATTTTTCATCCAAAATTCTATTTTAAATAATAAATATTATTAAAAATTGAATAATTTGATAGTTCCGACTTAGTTCAGTCATTTTATGAAAAAGAAACTCAGCAACTTTTTTTTACATCATCAAATTCTCCACGGTGCTTTATTTTTTACCAATCCAGTAACAAATCTTGTAGAGTTCGCAATTATTGATTTTATAATTCTATCTGTTTTTTAAAATGAGCTGCAGCAATCCTGTACAACAATTCAGTAAACATGAAACTGGAGATTTTAAATGGTGAATTGAAGGACTATTCACAAAATTACTTTTCTACAAAAATATTCAAAACATTAATTATTGAAACCATTTTTAAATTTTTTTGCTAAATAAAAGGAATCTTGAACTTGTTTATGTAAATAACTAGATGAGACAATGTTAACTAAATAATTTATTTTTTTACTACAAAAATTTTCTCTTCATAGATCTCAAGCTATTATGAGTTATTCAGTGTTCCAGTCATAAAATTACATTGGAAACTCAAAACTTTTCGTTCTAAACAAATTCGGAAATTAAAAATAAGTATATTTAATCATTGTATTGCAATGAGATTTACCTTTTTTACACTTGAATGTACTTTATTTAATTTGATGTTTGCCATTTTTGAAAATAGTTTTATAGCTGCATACAGTTTCAAAAGACCTCCTGATTTTATTATTATTATTATTTTGAGAAATGTTGCCAAGATTGTTTTGAAAAATGTTATTCTCATTTTTTTTAAATTTCCTATTTTATTTATTTATTTATTTTTCTTCAATACGAGGCTAAACATTCGGCCCTGAAAATAATGTAATAAGACGTTTAATTTTATATATTGCGCACCGTGAGCACGATTTCATGCAACTAAGGCGCATTCTTTCCTACCTAGAAAAAAATAATAAGTTTTCTTGAAATTATTTAATGAAAAAGTAGAGCCTAAAGGGGAAATTTCCTACAAATTTGACAGTGCCTTACGTTTTATTTATTTTTCTACTAGTTTACGAGTATTATCTTTTTATAATATTTAAATCATAAAGCCAATTCATCTTGTAACAATTAACATATATTTTTAACAATTTTAATTAATTCTTGAAAGATTTTTGTATCGCTTGGCCAAGGAGGGCTGTAGTCATTCAACACCTTCGTCCTCAGCCCTTAGCTACTCAGAGATTCAGTCCAAAATCAAAAGCCATCTATCAAAAAGTGGAGGATCCCCCCCCCCCACACACACTGGTATGCGGCCAAGGAACCGGGCTCTTCACTTGTTCATATCATATGTTTGAGACTCTCTATCACCTATATGAACCAATTTCCAGATTGGCAAGTGGACACACGAACAGTCTCTCGCACTTTGAAGGAAGAAAGACTTTTGCAGTCTGCTCCAAATGTGAAGCCCAGCAGGCCTCTGCCGAACATATCCTTGACTGTTTGGGCCTTTCCAAGGAAGACTTATACGCTACTCCACTTCTTGTCATCGACTTTTTGAGGGTCAACAACTTACTGGTAGCCTATTGGATCTTGTCTGACGGAGTCAGACAATTGAAGGACAAGGAACAACAACAAGATTTTTGTAATCCTTACATTTTAAAAACAATTCAAATTTTGTATTCATGTTTTGACTCTTTTTGGTGGTGTATGTAAAGCGCAGGAGGAAAGACAAGGGAGGGGAGTGGGTGTTACCAATCCTCACCAGAAAAGGAGAAAATTATCGATAACTATTTATTTGGGGGGGGGGAATACTGGTTGAAGAAGAACTACCAGTCCTCATCTAAAATATCGCAAGGGAAGTTATATAGAAAGAAAAATGCTGAAATTAAGGGCTAATTGCATTGTATGTTTAGTTAGAAGGAGCAACTAGCCATGGAGCTAGGAGTAGATGGAGGAGACACTAGCAGAAATTCGTGAAGCCGAAAGNGTCAGAAGGAGCAACTAGCTGTTCCATGAATCTAAATTTAAAAATGGCGATTCCTCTAGCTGAATTTTCAGCTCTTTTTTAGAAGAACTGCAGATTACATACAGTGTGCCTGAAAAGCAATTTTCCGTTAGAAGGAGGATAGAATCCGATTAGGTTCATCTGTTCTGACCCAATCCTTTTTCATTGTAAATCCATAAAGTTTTAGGAAGTAATATTTAAAAAAAAATGTAATGTCAACTGGGAGAAATATTAAAGTAAACGGTGTTCTGAAGAATTGAATAATGTCCATGATTTAATGGTCACGTAAGTGGATTCACTTTACATATTTTTATTTTTTATATTCCTTTAATTAATAAATTGTTTAAATAATAAGTTTGCTTATAAATATTAACTATCATTTTTAAGTTAAATTACATCTTTCACTTTTTAGGCTATTTAAAAATGTCAATTAGTACATTTAACCAAGTTTTCTCTTTTATATAAGTAATTCCAGGCACTATTAGTTGGTGAATATTCTGAATTTTAAATATAGTGATATATTTCAGTAGTTGTCATTTTTTTATTTTTTATTTATTTATTTTTTTCAATAACGGTGAGTTATGTCAGCTTTTTTATTCTAAAAGCTATTTTATTTGAGCCTGAGTAGAGTAACCGCCTGTCTAAAAAATTTTTTTTTAGAAATTTAAAATTTTGATATCTAAGCCTGATTGACAGTTCGTTCCTAAAATTTGATTAATTTTGCTGTATTGGTAATATTATATGCTATCGGGTAGGGATGATGGTATACATATACAATATATTACACAAAATGCGAGATCTACCTGTAGTAGTGACTCTACCGCATACTTTAAACTAGTTTTACTCCTTGTTTTAAAGCTGGGTTTTTTTATAATTTGGAAAAAATATTTTCTAGCTCAATCAAAAGGGACGTATGTTAAAGCGAAGTAGCCTCTGTAAAAGTAGTTTTTCTGCAACGATACTTCATTTGCAGCGAAAACCTTTTGCTTGTCTTGAAGAAATAAATTACCATGTTTAACATTTTAGTTTCTATAATTTTGAATATGATTAAGACGTGAGATTATAACACTCAGAGCTATACTCGAATAATCACGATTAATTATTCTTTAAAAAAATACATTTAAAGTACACTAAAATCTGTGTAGGCATTGAAGTAATATCTGCTTACTTATACCTATGCATACAAAACTTTCCTTTAACTTTCAATATTTCTGTACCTCGCGCTACGGGTTTACCTGTTGTTTCTCAGCAAAAAAATTTGCTTTAGTTACTAAAGAGTCTTTTTTTTTCTTTTTTGCTTAAATTTACGAAATTTCTACATTTTCTCTCATTTCGGAAACATTTGTTGCAGCAGATTTTTAATTTCATTTTGAAATTTCAATTGCAGGAAAAATAACATACTAAGTTTTATTTATTTTAATGGTACATTTGGTTTAAAATAACCAAATCATGAACAGAATATGTGTTAAATGTGTTTTTGATTTCTGTATTATCTATACTGAAGATCTCGAACTTTTATCATCGATAGAAAATCCATGTGAAGAAGTAAATTTCATTATCAGAATCAAAGATGTTTTTCAATGTGTATTTTATTGATTTTTTATAACAATTAAAAAATTAGCTAAATTAGAATATAATTATTATGTAAATAGCTTTATTTCTGAAACCAAGCAGGCTTTTTTTTAAAAATAAAATTAAATTAAAAATTGGTATTTTTTATTTATTTTACAAACCTTAACTCAAAAGGGTATTTAAATTACTGTGTAATAAGTAGTTATCCCTTTTAAGGAAGTAATTTGAGTTTTTTCCCAATGGATTAAAAAGGTTTATTGTGTTTTTGTGAGTGTATATAGCTCTTCTAAATTACATCTTGTTAAGTGCTGATCTTAAAAGAAATTAAAGATAAATGAAGTAGAGATGAGCTTGGTCTTAATTTGAAAGTTATATCAAACCAATTAGTTACCATTCAGTAATATGTTTCATTTGAAATAGGTTTCTTCAATACTTTTATTTAAAACAAATTTTATTCCTTGTTTTCAGATACCATCAAGTAAATATCACAGAGTGTCTCCATTAAAATACAGCCCGGCATGCTACAAATACGAGTACAGCAGGACAGAACCAGCTATTGCTATGATAAATGAACCTGATGGTTTTTCTCGGGGTAAAAATAAAATATTTCTATCTTGCTCTTAGTAATATATATACTCTCGACTTAAAAAAAATCTAATCTATTTTTTAATGGAAAGAAAAGGTTCACTTACCAATTAAGTTTTGTTCACAAAATAGTAACATTCATTTTTTTCTTCTTATTTATTTGAACTCTTTTGTTCCCTCAATTTTGATTTTATTTTGTTTTGTAACCGTCGTTGAACAGCCGATCCAATTTTTAGGCTTACGACTACTAATGTTCAATTCCATCGACGTGTATTTTTGAACCCTATCCAGAAGACAAGGGAACTCCTGGACTAAGTACAGGGAGAAAGTTTCCTTCGTGGAGGACTTTTTGATGGAACTAACCCGCATTTGCGCTACGTGTAGAAGAAAGCCACGAAAACCTCCCACGGTTAGCCTAATGGCAAGGGGACCCATGATCCATCTACCACCGAGGATATTTTATGTCGGCATTGGGGTTAGTGTGAGCGCTTGCTAAATTCGTATCGAACAGCTATTGCTGGGATTCGAAACCGATTCACCTCATTGGAAGGCGAACGTTCTGTCCTCCATTTTGATTATGGAAACCTGTTTAACTTTTTTTTTTCAAAAGTGAAATGCTTTTGTGTATTAAATGCTTCAAAACAATTTTATTCGTGCATTTAATGTTTGTGTCATGTAAAATATTTACTTTAAAATTTGATTTTATGATATAGCTGCAAAATGTCCTACAAGGAACAAACAAATCCAAATGAAAGAAAATGAAGTGTCTTGTGATGGGACCTGTTGGCAAATTGAGTTTAAAAAGAAATTTGATATATGGAAGAGAAGGTAAAGAAAGGTGACATTTACTCTTCTAAAATGCTTATCAGCGCAAAACAAGTTATTATATTTGTGCAAGTTAATACAATGCTCAAAATTAACTATTTAAATATTTTTAAAATCTTGTCTCCTTTTTTTCATGTAGAATAGGAAAATATAAGACCAGATTCAATTTTGTTTTTTGTATATCGGATGTTCAAGGATATAAAAAGGTACAAAGAATGTGGAGAGTTTCAAAAGCTATTACGCAACCCCTGGAAACCCGAAGGAATTTTTACACTTCTTACAAAATTTTACAAGACCCAAGTTCACAAAAATAATTCTATCACTTGCTAGCCTTTCAAAAATAAATTTTTTATAACGTTTTTATCCCTCCTAAATAGCAAGAAGATGGAATATGATCGTAACACTTTCAAATCCTCAAATATTTCAAACGCTAACTATTATCACTTATCTATATTTAAATAGAAATTTAAGAGTATTTCCATTAAACTGCGATGATTTGTTTGTCTTAAATAAAGGAAGAATAAAATTAAGTACGTTTTAAAACAGCTGTCAATGGGAATTTTAAACCACCGTCATAGAATAAATGTAGTAGAATAAAATTGGGATCATGAATTGGTACTTGAATATTTTATAAACTTAAGATACAACTGAATGATTCGGAACAATTCTTTCTTTGATAAATAGCCTACAGGAACAATAAAGCTCAATAACAAATAATGTTCAGGGCTAGACAGCGAAGTCATTTTTTGAATAACTCACCTAACATGTATTAAATAAAAATACTAAAATTTATAATACTTAAAAAAAGCAATTTGTAAGGAAATCCAAATATTATACATTTTACAAGCATGCAATACACATTATTATACATTGTATATTTTTATACAGGCATTTTACCTGATTCATATGAAATACATTTTGTTTATTTTCTTCATTACTTTTTTTACAGCATGATGTTGATTGGAAAAGCTCTCTACAGTATTCTTACTCAGCAACCACTAAGCATCAAGAAAGGATCTGAATAAACAGAGCAAAATATAATACCCAGAAATAAATAAAAACATATTATCTATTCATTCATTGACCGAGTCTTGAATAACTTTAGCACAGAAAATTAAAAGAAATCTACCACAGTATGTTACTTAAGTAAAATGAATGAACACAACTTCTTCCTCTTATCTGAACCATTTCTATCTCTCAATATTTCAGACTCACAAAATGCAGTTAAAGACCATTTTAATTAAAATTTGAGTGAGATAGGTAAAAATGTACAAGCATACATATTTTATACGTCGTAAGAAATAGTGTGATGCAAGTTTTATTTAACATTTTTGTGGAGCAGGAAATTTAATGATAGTATATTATTTAAATCCAATAAAACCAAACTAATTCGTAATACATAGAAAACAGGAATATAAATATTTAAAGTTACAATGTAGAGAGCTAGGAAAATTTGAAAATATGGACTGAATTCATCAATTTTCACAAATGAGTGAAGTATTTTTCTTAAGATTTTAAAGTCCAATAACAATAAAGGTGCTTTTTTAACTTCGATAAAATGTACTAAAAGTAAAAGAGCTAGAAATTTTAAATCGTGTATCTTATTTAAGGCGATATTATGGTTCAACTGGAAAGATTTTATTTTATACCTCATATGAAAGTCACAGCCATTTCGCATCTTATTAACTATTCAGTGCCGAACCAATTTCTTTGAGATGAATGTGACCTTTGAATTACTCTCTTTGTCAGAAAAATATAGATTATAAATAAATGGGTTTTTTTTTCTTTGAAATAAATATTCTCATTTCAATAAAAGTGGACACCATGTAATGATATAGCAAAATATTAATTAAATTCAAGGTTAAATATTCTGACGCACGAAGTCAGTTGATTGAAAGGCTCCAAATAATTTTATCTATCAACTTTAGATGGCGTACAGACAAACAACCTTTCTGATTGTTAAGAAAAGTAATTAGCTGTCATCTGGATCACGAAAGACTTAAAGGAAAACAAATCTCGCAAATTTTAAGATTTTCTTTTTTTTTATCGTTAAACGCTAATGAAGTAAATATCTAATCGATGATCTTTTTATTCCAGACACATCTCGAAATGCTCATTTGATTCCCTTATGAAAATTCATCTTCTTTTTGTTTCACAAATATATCTAAGTAAATGCGAAATGTGATTTCTATTTGGCTAAATAACTTTTTTAAATGAGTCTTTTTGACAAAATACTAACAGTTTACAATTATTTTTACAAGGTTGTTACGGATCCTATATGCACATTTATAGCAGTGGTATTAAATGGATTTTGTAAGAATTTATATTTTTTAAAACCACTACATTGTTAAATGCTCTGAATATGATGCGATGCATCAAAGTTAAATGTGTAATATAATCCAGGTACACCCATCCCGAAATCTTAAGATTTAAAAATGTATAGAAAAGTTAGTTCGAAATTTCACGCTTAGTTATTAAATTTGGATTTAAAAGATGCATTTTTTGCTGTATACATTTCCTTAAACATGCATTTTGGGCAGCGTCTCACCGACGATCTATAGAAATATTAAAATACCTACATTTTTCCCACGATTAAATAAATTCAAACAACCACCAGTTCATTTAGAAATTTTAGTTCAGAAAAATTTATACCAAAGTTTAGATTAACTATATTTACAAATTATAATATATATGTATATACATATACTACTTTTCTGTTCTGTCCCATTTAAAATAGTGTACAACAACTGATAAATTCATATACATCTTTATTAGTTGTTCAGACCAATTACATATATAAATTGCATGTAGAAAAGTGATTACATATCTGGGTTACACTCCGATGATCAATTACATAAATTTTTCTTCCCCTAGAAAACCAATTTTAATAAAGTGGGGCAAATTTAGCCTCTCTGCGTATGTACTCAACAATTTATCAAAGACAGAGACGATTTTTTTTAATGCTTGTTGTTCTTTTATTTCTGAAAAAAATAGACTTTTAAGTTTCTGCTACATTAAATATAAATAGTTAATAAAAATAAAAAAATAATAAATAATTCCCCAATAATAAAAATTCTAAATGGCTGTATTTGTAAATTTTAATTTTTCAACAACTGCTCCAGTAGTTGTTTAAGATCAAAGTTTGTATTTTGTTATTTAAAATGATATCATTTGAAATAATTTGAAAATTTTATTACGATTCAAAAAGTTTTAGACCACTACCAAATAGAATAATAATAAATAATAATAATTTATAAAAAATTATTTTTTGCGTGAATTTATTTGAATAAACAAATTTTATAATTATGAACAAAAACTTTTCTCCACATATATATATATATATATATATATATATATATATATA